GTGGAATATTATTTTAACAGCACAAACTAGCACCCAACAAATTAATTTTTTAGATTTGGAGATATTTATCACACACGGCACTATTACTACCAAGAATCATTTTAAAGATGTAGATGCCAACAGCTACATCAGAAGAGAGAGCTGTCACTATCCTCCTTGGTTAAGCAACGCCCCGAAAGGACAATTCCTACGTATAAGAAGGAACTGTACGAATGAACAAGACTTTTTAGAGCAAGCAAATAAGATTAAAGTACAATTTCTGGAAAAAGGTTATGACGATGTTTCCCTCCAATTAGCTATAAATGAGGTTCAAGAAATACAAAGGACAGACCTTCTAAAATATAAACAGAAAAAGAAAGATTTAATCAAGAAACGAGACATCCCCTTCATATGCAATTTCCATGGCAACAGTAGGAAAATGCATAAAATCATAGGAAAACATTGGCATATACTAAAAGATGACCCTATTCTTAAAAATATATTACCAGAAAAACCAAAAGTCATCTTTAGAGGTGTAAAAAACTTGAGAAACACTTTAGTTAAAAGCAGTAATAAAAAACAAACAGTAGGACAAACCTTCCTTACAATAAGTAAAGGATTTTACGGATGCGGACAGTGTCTAGCATGCAGGGGAGGGCTGGCAGCCTTAGGCCTGGAGGGCAAAACCAGTCAAGTGGCCCATTGCACCACCAAATCAGTTCACCATCCATGCCCACCTTTTCCTGGTTTTATAACGGATATTGATGTTATGCTAATCAGTAGCTCTTTGCCATACCAGCTCTTCGGCTCAGGCGCTGCTTGTTGTGGTGTGACCTGTAAATTAGGGGCAGAGGGCACTTGCACTGCGGTAAAGATGGGGCTGGGCAGGAGGAGAGTGCAGTGCAATCAGTGCACTCCCCTCCTGTGGGTCACCAGTAGACTGGTGCACCTGCCAGGATCAGAGCCGGTGCAAGGATTTTTGCCGCCCTAGACAAAATAAAAATGTGCTGCCCCCCCATGTGACATCACAATGCCCCACCCATATGAACTAACGCCAGTGCTGCACACAGTGTGTGTTTACATTAAAAAGGCTGCAGGGACCAGCTATAGACACCAGAACCACTTCATTAAGCTATAGTGTCCCTTTAATGTAAGGTACATTATAGATTAGTGTCACTAATAATATACTAGATTGCCTACTTACAAGCAGGTGAGGATGATGATGGGCTGCAGTTTGGCTCCACTGGTCTGGTGTAGAACAGGATCTCTGGAGGCTGTTTGCAGCTGTGGTCACAAAATTCAATGTTCTGGGAGAATTGGAAGCAGCTCCATTTTTTGGGGGCCCCTTACACAGCTCAAGGTCTGGGCCCCAGGGCCTGACGGTGAGTATGCCCGCAAGGCCCACTCATAAGTCCACTTATATGTTCCACCCACCCATGAGTTCGCTCACAGGGAGTGGAGTGTGTAGGGGATGTGTTATGTGTTATTGTAGAGGATCTAATGTGTGTGCTTATGGTATGTAGTGTATAGGGATACTATTTTGTGCAGGTGATGCAGTGTGTTTGTGTGTAGTGGAAGCAGTGTGTATTTATTGTATAAAGGGATGTATTATGTGTTTCTGGTTTATTATTAATAGGGATGCATTGTGTGAATCTGTGTTTGTATGCATAAAGGATGCAAAGTGTGTGTCTGTATGTGGCTGTGCATTGAGTGTAAAGAGATGCATTGTTTCTGTGTGTATGTAAGAAAAGTGTGTGTGTGTTTGCATGTGTGTATGCGGGTTTTGCATTGTCTGTTTCTGTGTATGTGTGCAAAGGATGCGGTGTCTTTGTGTGTAGGGGTTGCATTGTGTGTGTGTGTAATGCCATTGTGTGTTTTCTCTGTGTGTAAGGGAAGCATGTTGTGTTTCTGTGTATGTATAGGGATGCATTGTGTGTTATTATTACTGCAGCGTGAGTGTGAAGAGCTCCCTGTCGCAGCCCCTGTCCTATAGAGCTGCCCCTTCTGTCAGTGAAATCTCCCCTGCACCTTAGTGGTCTCTCCTCTCCCCCACCCTCCCCTAGCGGTCTCTTCTCACACTCACCACCCTCCCTGTGCTCTTCTCACTCCTCCCTCTATGTGTTCTCCTCACACCCCCTGTGTTCGTCTTACCCCCCTCCTCCCTGTGTTCTTCATACTTCCCCCCTTGGTCGTCTTACTCCCCCACCTGTTCTTCTTAACCCCCCTTCTTCTTATTGCTCCCCCTTCTTCTTCTTACCCCTTCTTCTTCCTCTTCCTCCCCCTTCTTCTTCTTACTCCCCCCATTTCTTCATACTCACCCTTCTTCTTACTCCCCACTCTTCTTCTTCTTACTCCCCACTCTTTTTCTT